CTGCTGAAACCCTTCAGATGAGATTTCAACCCGAAAGCAGACGCACAGCCCAGACTCCCAGCATGGTGACTCTGTGCGTCCTTGTGATGCTCACCCTGGTTTCTGCACTCGCAGGTAGATATGAATCCTCTCTTCTTTCCACTACTGTTGTGTCTGTCTTCGGTCTGTGAACTGGTCATTTCTCATTCTGTCTGCGATCACCACTCGTTAACACTGCGTGCAACAAGCAGAATTATTGACAGAAACAGCAGCACGAGTAGTGAGCAGATGAAGCCTGTGCTCTGTAGCTGATTTAGAGCAGAAGTTTTAAGCTCTCCCAACAGATAAAGAACTCAGTTGCTGATACCATTATTTCCATATCAAAGAAATGTAGGCTGACTTATGCACTGTTAATAAACAGGAAGATTCAGCACAAGTGTCGTGTCTCCATCATGGAACATTATAGAAATAAAAGCATTACATTTTTGTTAGATATTCAGGCACTTTTGGTGCTAGTAGCATTCATTGGATGACGATTGTATCCTTATCCATCACTCTATCGTGAATCAGGAACTCATTACTCCTGGAAAGGGTCAGAACATCTCATCGTTAATCCTAGAAGCACAGGACACCCCTAAACCAAACACCAGTCCAGTACTGGTGGTACACAAACACACACCAGCTAACCTACCCAGCATTTCTCTCTGGGACGAAAACGGAGCATCTGAAGAAAAACGTCTCAAATGCGGGGAAAACATACAAACCACAGACTGCAGACAGAATGTTCCCTGTGCAGAACTGAACCCATTGCACAAGGGCTGTGAAACAGCAGCATGAACCTCCACAGCACCCTGCTGTCGCTGTTGTTTTTAATATTATTTGCTGTGCAGGCAGCCTTCTCCAGAATGACACACAGTGTACAAAGCTTGCAGGAAGTGTAATTGCAAAGGAAAAAGGGCAGTAGTAAGACGTAGAAGGAGCCAGCATATACAGGTAGAGAGAAAGCAATGCAGGAAAGTAACGACTCCACATGCACTGTGTGCCATGTGTCCAGTGAACAAGTGCAATTAGCAAATTACACTGGAGTGACAGAGGAGCATGAGAACAGCGAGGAAGAGGAAAGTCAAGCAGAGTCACAAACTCTGGATGAGCAGGAGCAGGTGTCACAGGGGTCCAGAACGCCAGCGTTTCTCAAGCTCTGTTGTACCAGGGACCAGCTCCCTCAGGTCCTCCTCGTCTAAGGATGGATTAGGCTGAGAACAAAACAAGGGAAGACAAAATACCGAGCTCGTCCTTTAGAACTGGCTCGGTCTGCAAGGTCCTAGCTGGGACCAGGTCCTGGTTCTGGTCCGCGGGCCCGGACAGGGGCTGGACTGCTCCAGAGGAGGCGACAGGAGCGTGCCAGAGGAGAAATGTGCAGGGAGCAGGACAGGGAGGAAACAAGAGAGACACTAAGACTCTTGGCTGAGGAGCAGGGGGAGGGTGGTGGAGTCCAGAGGAGTAGAGGTGGGAGG